CCCCAAAACCCCAAAACCCCAAAACCCCAAAACCCCAATAGTTTCGCAAATATTATTTTAATAAAATATTTATTTATAAAAAATGTAAATTGTGATGAGGTTTGTAGGCTTCTATGCTTTATGAGGAGTCTAGTTAATTAAGATATGATGATAAAAGCAACCCTTGTTAAGTTTAAACAATTCATGCCAATTAGAATAACAATTAATAAATTTGAAAAATTTTAACCAATGATATACAAAACTAATTAATCAGTTTCATTTCTCATCGATCAAAATTTTGCTATTTCAATAAATTATAGAGGTTTTGATTTATACGATATCCAAAAGGCTGAAATTCTTATTAGAATAATTTCTGAAACCTTGAAAACTTTGAATTAAAACTTCAGTCAGAAATAATTTGAAATTTTCATAGAAAACATATTTCCAGATGATTTCAAGACTTAAAAACTATTTATGATGAATAAAGAATGATAGTGCCGATGATCTTGATTCTAAAGGCAGAAGGCCTTCAATGTCGAATAATTCTAAGTATTCAAAGAGACATAAAGATAATAGCAAAGGCAATATTGCAGCCCAATTGAGTCCAAGTAATGATTTTATCTAACTGAAATTTTTACCAATTAGTACTTCGAAAAATGATGATATTTCTAGGATTCTGCATAAAAATTATTGAGAGAGTTTTCTTCAATAAAAGTGTTAGAAATTTTCCAATTCATCAAAATTACCGTCTAACTTACCTTATAGATGTACATAATCAAGCAGGACAGAGTTGAGTAAATGTTAAGATTAAGTCTACAAGCCAAGAGTCAGCGCTGGCATGCCAAAACATGAACATAAAGTGCATACTTGGTAACCATTTAGAGGGATCAAAGATATTGTCCAAGACAAGAAGCCAAGTAAAGAAAGTAGTAAGAGGTTGCTATATAAGGAAGAATCAAAGCTCAGGATGTCTAAATAATGCAGAGGATAATGAGCTAATCAAAGAAATGGTTCGAGATAGCAAAGCAAGACCTGATGATAGCTCTGTCAGTGACTCATTAAACCAAAAGCAGCCTTCTATTAAGATAAACATTATTAAAGACAGTTCAAAGGCTGCTGCTGCTGAGAAGGAAAATTGTAATAAGTTCTTTCCCTAAAACTTTTCCATATTAAAATAATGCTAATTTCAAAAAACTTTTAACTAGTGATGCATACAATATAATTAAGCACCTCTAGGTTCATTTCTCTTGGTGAGAGCTAAAAGTGGTTAATTAGAATTATAGACCTCCAACTTTCCAATATTGATGAGTCTATGCTTAGAAGTGCCTGATTAGGCCAGGTTTATGATGATAGTATCGATAAAGTCGTCAGGAAGAGCAGGTCAAGAATCAGGAGCCAATGAGTTAATAAGAGTAAGAGTTTCGAACAGAAATCTGCTAGCAAGCACACTTCAAAGTTTTTGACGATTAAATTCTATCATGCTTAAAAATGAGTTTTATATTTTATTGCAATTTTGAAATCTCGTGAGAAATTATTTATCCTCTACAAAAACATTTGTAATAATTTCTATGCTTAAACTGTCACAATAATTCCAATTTAGAAGCACAACAGAGAGAAAGAAGAATTAGAAGTGTTAGAAAAAGCCTACTGAGCATGGTTTAGACTATATTAAAACTGATAAAAATAAACCTTCTTAGCGTCTATTTCAATTATTTTAACACTCAGAGGGGTTTTGGGGTTTTGGGGTTTTGGGGTTTTGGGG